GTGGGACAATATGTACGAATTGAAATTATTTGTTTAATTTTAAATATTATATTTTAAGTCGACAAACAAACAATGCAAATTATCGCACGAAAAACCTTATCTGGAGTGATAGGAGTGTGTTGTTTTTTTTTGTTTTTTTTTGTTTTTTATTTATTAGTATGATTATTTTACAAACATGGTCAGTACATTGTGGCCGTGCTCATTGTTGATCTTATTGAGAGTTGTTTTTTTTCTTTTTTATTATTGACATTATTTTTTTATTATTATTAACATTGCCATTATTTTTATCTTTTTTTCATGTGCTGATCGTGTTTGGAAAATAAGAATAATTGTCAGTCGTCTTTAAAAAAACTTGTATAAAAAGAGGTGTTTTCTGCCCAAAGTGTGTGTGTGTGTGTGTGTGTGTGTGTGTGTGTGTGTGTGTGTGTGTGTGTGTACATATATGTGTGTCTATACACACACACACACATATATATATATATATAAATAATTAAATAATAACTTGATTTTTTTATCCTTTTCGTCTTCCTCTCCGATTAAATTTATTTTTGTTTGTTTTATCTTTTTAATTTTTTCTTTTCTTTTCATATCATTCTCCCCACTCCACTGACGTCACTCGTTCAATTTTTTAATTACATTTATATTTTCTTCCACCTTGTCTCTTTTCCTTTCTTTTTCGTTTTGTCACTCCTTCGCTTTTTCTTTTCTCTTCTTTTGTTCCCTTCTTTTTTCCTTTTTTCCTCTTTTTCTTTTTCCTCTCTTTTTTTCCTAATTTTTCATTTCCCTTTACTTTTCTTCTTTTTTCTTTTCTATTTATTTTTATTTTTATTTTCCCTTTTCCTCTTCTTTTTCGATTTTCTTTTCCTTTTTTCTTACCCTTTTCTTTTTTCTTTTTCTTTTTTCCTTTTCTCTCTTTTCTCTTTTCCTTCTTTTTTTCTTTTCCTTTCCTTTCTTTTTACTTTTCCTTTTCTTTTTCGTTTCCCATTTATTTTTATTTCTATTTTTATTTCATTTTTCTTTTCACTTTTTCTTTTCGTTTTTCCTTTTTTCACTTTCTTTTCTCTTTCTTTTATTTTCCTTTCTTTATTCTTTACTTTTTCTTTCTTCTTTCCCATTTATTTTTCTTTTGCTTTTCTTTTCACTTTTTTCTTTTTCTTTTCGTTTTTCATTTCTTTTCCTTTTTTTTCTTTTTCCTTCATTTCCTTTTTACTTTTTCTTCTCTTTCATTTCCTTTTTTTCCGTTTCTTTTTTCCTTTTCCGTTTCTTTTTTAATTTTCCTTTTCTTAAATTTCATCCGCATCCTGTTATCTTTTCCGTCTCCCTTTTTTTTTCGCTTTCTTTCTTTATGTTCCTCATTCGCTTCTTTCTTTCTTCCCGTTTCTAATCTACCTCTGTTTATCTCTCACACTTTTCTTTTTTCCTTCCTTTCTCTTTTTGCCTCTTTATCTTGTCTCACATCACTGTCTTTTTTCTTTCACCTTTTCCTTTCTTCCTTTTTTTCATAACATTTTCCTTTACTCGCCGTACCTTCATTAATTCTTTTCATAACTTTCCTTTCATTGTCAATTTTTTTTATCTTTTTCCCTAATTTTTTATATTTTTCATAAATCAAAAATATTTTTAAAACGATTGCTTAAACAAAATCTTTTTTTAATTATTTCTGATTATCATTTCTCAAATTAATTTATTTTCAACGATATTCATTTTTTTAAACAAAAATATTGGTTTTGCCGTCTGCAAATTTCATCCATTTAAAATAAATTGCTGTTAAATTCGAATTATTGTGTTTGCAAAGCGTTTTTTTTTTCTTTTTTTTTTTTTTTACATTATCGTTAAAAAATAGCTTTCGACATATAACCACAATTTTATTGACTGTAAACAAAGATCTTAAGTCGGGAACAAGTAAAAACTAAAAATAAAATAGTTTTTTTTAGCGTTCTTGAAGATCATCGAGAATCGGCAACCGACAAAAAAACAAAAATCACAAAAATCTAGAGAGCAATTTTTTTTTTTAAACCTATTGTGGTTGTTGAAATAAATAAGTATTCATGTTTTATTACATTTCCAATATGTTCAGTTTCGAACTTAGCTTCTAGACAAAGGACTTTTTTAAGTTAGAAGCTGCTTTCTAAAAGAGTTCATATATCGAGGTACCGATTCCGTTATTCCCACAAATTCGCTAAGGTAGGTAAGAAAAAAACAAACGAAACATATCGTTATTTTTTTATTTATTTTTTTTTTTTCGCAGTAAAATACTTTTGTGATATGTTCAAAGTGTTAAAGTGATATTGAAGTGGAAAATGCCAACAAAAAAATCAATCAAGGATTTTTGCGTTTTAGAATTTAAAAAAAAAAAACTTGTTTTTTTTTTTAATATCCCGTTCATATCTTCATCAACGTTAGAATGGTGTAATTGAAATTGCTCATCAGCTGTTAGAGATTTATATAGACCTTCTGTAGAGTGGATTGAACCATTACCAAAAAGTTGAACTCGAGACGCGGAAGAAGCTGAATAATTCATCGAAATAAATTTATTACGAATATGGATTTTTAATTTTTTTTTTTTTATATATATATATATATATATATATATATATATATATATAGAGAGAGAGAGAGAGAGAGAGAGATGGGGGGAGGCAGAGGGACAAAAAACAGACAGAGATATTTCTAAAGAATTAATGGATATTATTTTCGTAGTCTGACATATTTTTATTACTTCAAACGTTAATTCTATTAAATATCCGTATTTGAGTATAGAGACGCTCTGCTTATTTTAAACGGCATTTCGTCTACCGGCCTATGTATATGACAAGGCCGGTAGACGAAATGCTGTTTAAAAACGAAACGTCTATTCAAATAAGTGGAATCCACTAAATATAAAGTTTGAAGTAATATATATATAATACAATGATGTCAATAAATTGCAAAAAAAAAAGGTACACATTTGCTTTCTTTTACAAACGTAAACATTTCAAATGTTTACATTTGAAGCCGGGCGTATACCAGGATACCTAACTCGTATTTTTTACACACAATGAAAAAACACTTTAGACACGCACACAATTATATATATATATATATATATATATATATATATATATATATATATATATATATATATATATGCATACACGCTTTTACATATAGAAAAACTGGTTCGCGTTTGTTATGTAAAAAAAAATGTACACTACACACACCCATAAGCCGACGAAGCATTTTGAACGTTACACGCCGTTTTGTACATTTCTTTACACATATTCACACAGTCACACATACCTACACAGAGACTTTAAAACGCACATGCATACGCATACATATACACTCAACTTGCGAATGCACACGCTTTATGTAACTATATACACACAAAAAACCCACAACCATGAAGCACCTGCTCGTCAAGCCAGACCCGCCCTGGGGCACAATACTCCATAAAAGGCATGTCGTCATGGCAACCCACGTGTGACACAGCATCAGCCAATAAAAATTTTCTATTTCAAAAATCCCGGCCAGATTGCTGCACCAATCAGATGAGAGTGATTTGAATATCTTCCCGAGTCTTTGTTCTACGCAGGGTCGGCAACCGCCATTTCGTGTGTGTGTGTGTGTGTGTGTGTGTGTGTGTGTGTGTGTGTGTGTGTGTGTGTGTGTGTGTGTGTGTGTGTGTGTGTGTGTGGTGGGGGTGAGTTCTCCTCCCTACCTCTTCCACAGACTAGGTTTTCCTACCCCCCCACCCCAATAACAATATCTCTCGCCTTGTTATTATTACCTTGCGTTTTTATAACTGCTACTATATGAATTGGTATTACTACCAGTACTTTTACAGTTCCTCCTCCATGGTCTATTTAAAAACAGGCAGCAAAATCGATTTCCTAAATGGATTTTTCCCCCTTGCAATTAAGGAAAATTAACCTGGAAACATTTTTAACATTTATAACTTATCCATAGGTTTAAATTATTTATTGGGTTTTGTTCGTGTTTTTTTCTGATTCTTGAAATACTTCTTTCCGTTTATCTGTCTAAAAAAGAGAAAAAGAAAGTAGTTTTATTTTCCAATTGTAAGTAGTCTGATGTCATTTTTAACAATACCAACAATAATTTATATACTGTTTATATTTTAATATATATATATAAAAATATATATATATATATATTTGCTTTAAGAGAAAAAACTTACTCTATGCCTTTTTGATATTTTAAAAGTTTTTCTTTATTTCTTTTTCTTTCTTTTTTTTCTTCTCGTTTTCGTCTTTTTTTTTTCTTTTTCTTTCTTTTTTTTCATTTGTTACATGGATTCTTTTGCGTCATTTTCTCTCCATTTCTCTAAGGATTATTTTACAGCGTGTATTGCAACACTAACAGTAATAACTCAAAAATTGGTTTCCTTCCGCAACTATAAGTTCACTTATCTGTTACCTGATATCTTCCCCACCTGTTGCTTTCTTGTCTGCGGAATTGGTGATATTAGCTGAGACAATTCTAAAGACTTTTTTTTTCTGTTTTCCTTCCCGATTTCTTTGTCTCTTTTTTTTCCCCCTCATCCTAATTTTAAATATGTTGTGATTGTTTTCCCTTTTATCTTTCGGACACTATCGGTCCGGAGAAAAAAAAACAAAAAAAAAACATTTAAACATCACATAGAGTTAATGTATATATAAACATCTATATTGCTAACTTATTTTAAACGGAAAAAATATATCATCTTATGTATTTCTTGTTTATTACACTCATAGTCGCGTCAAGTAATTGGTTGATTAGTATTCTAAGTCCTTAACTTTTTTTAATCACTTTCTCCCTATCGATTTTTATCAATGTAAAAACAAAAAAAGAACGGACTAACTCAAATTAGAAATTGCGAATTTACGATGGGAGGAAATTATTGAACTTGAAATAATAAAACAAAAAGGTAATTAAATAGAAACAACAAAAAAATCCCCCCCCCCCAACATAAGAAAGAAAAGGCATTCTTAAAAGATTTTATGAAAAACTCCGCAGTCGCTATGGATTTTTTCAGCTATCCTGACGTGGATAGCAATGACCCTCTATCAATTAATGCTATGTTCGAGCACTTCGACCATGAAGATGTTTCGAACGAACTGGAGGAACTTCTTCAGTGTACTGTGACAGAAAAACTTGGAGGTGATTTCGGATTACGTACACCACCGCTAGCTACGGATTTTACGCATGCGACGAGTCCTACAAACAACAACATTGCCCTCTGTGGAAGTTTAAACAACAATAACATTAAAATAAACAACAACAACAACCATGTTTCTACAATCGGTAACAGAAACAACAACAGCAACAACAACAATGGCCATATTGCTAATGGCTTTGCTAGTGTCCTTAACGCTACAAATATCTGCCTCGCTGATGTGAACAATAGCCGTACCCTACCGGCTGGCACCAGTACCAGCATCCCCGCTAACACCACCACGACCACTAGTGCAACTAACAAAGTTCTAAGAGGTGTTAATATTGCCGGGTTTCTTCAGCTAACAGAAGAGAACCGATCGAACGTTTGGTTGGCGGATGGAACAGAACAAAACGTGCCCCGGACGACTTCAGTATCGACACCCGCACTGCCTGCAGTGACCGGGGTTGCGATTTCGGACCTGGCGGCAGACAGCCGGATTCGAAACCGCAACAGCCTCAGCAATTTGGCCAGCAACACGAACGGAACCATTCATATCAACGGTTCGAACCCCCGGGTGTTCGTCGATCATATGAAAGAGACAGAAAATTCCAATCCGAACTTAACAGTCAACCAGCGGACTGGATTACCAATCAATCGGCACGCAAGTCGTGACCAACCTGTTAAACAGTGCACGGCCGTTCTCTTAGGGACAGTAGGTCAGCTGTCCAAAAACGGGCTGACGGCAGGTGCTCAACACCATTCCGTTCATTCACCTTTGCAGTCGAGTATAGTGAACCACAGCAATAACAGTAGCGGCCAAGAACCTCCGCGACATCAGGATGAGACTACGACAGCTACTCCATTGTCGCCCATATTCTTATTGCAGTCATACCCTCAACAAACGCAGACACAACAGCAGCAACAACAACGAATTCTCCAAGATACAGAACAGAGGAAACATCAAGGAATGCTGGGAAATATTTTCTTGCATTCCCAGAACATACTTCCAGGTAATGGTAACATTGCTATCCAACCAATGGAAACAAATGAGTACACTTGTAAGACGAATAAAACTCCACGGACAATGGACCATTTCCGGAGTAATCTCCACCCGACAGTGGACACATCTGCCCTGGCCGACACCCTCACTTGTGAGGATCTGGTCAGAGATGGACATATCAGCGACAAAACCTACCCCAAGCCTGTTTATTCCTACAGTTGCTTGATTGCGATGGCGCTTAAAAACAGTAAAGGTGGGAGTTTACCAGTCAGCGAAATATACAACTTTATGATGTAAGTCTCTTCTTGTCATACCTGTTCAATTTTCGTTTATTTTTTTCCTAGTATATTACAATGATATGTACAATATTATGATGTCCTTTCTCATTACACCTTACATTTTTTTTCATTAGTATATACAATTTTATGATGTTACTTTTAATCATATTCTTCAATTTTCTTTCAATAATACATGCGAATTATATTTCCTCTCCACATCACACCTGTTCAATTCTCTTTTTCTTTGGGTCGTATAGACGTCTCTCCTCATAACACCTATTCAATTCTCTTTTTTTAGTCGTATATACGTCTCTCCTCATAACACCTGTGCAATTCTCTCTTTTAGTCGTGTATACGTCTCTCCTCATAACACCTATTCAATTCTCTTTTTTTAGTCGTGTATACGTCTCTCCTCATAACACCTATTCAATACTCTTTTTTTAGTCGTGTATACGTCTCTCCTCATAACACCTATTCAATACTCTTTTTTTAGTCGTATATACGTCTCTCCTCATAACACCTATTCAATTCTCTTTTTTTAGTCGTATATACGTCTCTCCTCATAACACCTATTCAATTCTCTTTTTTTAGTCGTGTATACGTCTCTCCTCATAACACCTATTCAATACTCTTTTTTTAGTCGTGTATACGTCTCTCCTCATAACACCTATTCAATTCTCTTTTTCTCTGAATCGTATACACGTCTCTCCTCATCACACCAGTTCATTTCTTTTTAGTTTTATATACGTCTCTCCTCGTCACATGTGTTCAATTCTCTATTAGTAGTTATATGTCTCTCCTCATTACACCTGTTCAATTTTCCCTTTCAATTAATATTCTAGACGTCTCTCCGGATCACACATGTATACTTTTCTTTTTTCTTTTAGTAATCTATACGAATCTCCGATTCACATCTTTTTAATTTCCTTTTATTTTTTAATTAGTAATATATATATATATATATATATATATATATATATATATATATATATATATATATATATATGTCTCTCCTCATTACACCTGTTCAATTTTCTTCTTCTTTTAGTCGTATATACGTCTCTCCTGATCAATCCTGTTCAATTGTCTTTGAGTAGTACATTTGTTTCTCATCATGACACTTGTTCAATTTTATTTTTCCTTTCTCTTTTTACCGACCTGTACACTCGAAAAAACACTCGTAGAACACACTTTCTTTCATAAGTTATCTCAAGAGATTGTGCAAGCCAGTAGACGAAATAAATACTGTCTAAAATAAAAGCGATGATTCTACTAACATATGGTTATCCATTAAAAATAACGTCTGATGAAGTAATAAAATATATTGGGGTAAAAAAGATTATATATATATATATATATATATATATATATATATATATAAACTTATGTATGTATGTATGTATGTATATGTATATGTCTGTCTGTGTGTGTGTGTGTGTGTGTAATGAATAATATTTTTTATCTGTTATTTTTTAATTATTTTATTAAAAAATAAAATCTGTTATTTATATATAATAGATTTTATTTTTAGTACGACATATTTTATTACTTAAAGTGTTACACATAAGCACGCACACAAACACACATATATATGTTTGTGTGTGTGTGTAATGAATAATATTTTTTATCTTATATTATTTGTAATTATTTTATTAAAAAAATAAAATTTGTTATTTATATATAACACTGTTCCTGATATATAAAAGTATAAATCGTTATCTCATTCTTATATCTTATCTATATATATATATATATATATATATATATATATATATATATATATATATATATATATATATATATATATATATATATGTATATATATATGTGTATGTGTGTGTGTGTGTGTGTGTGTGTGTGTGTGTGTGTGTGTGTGTACATAAATTCCAAAGAGGATAGAATCCAGGTAGAACTCAATGTCCACGATAGAGTAACAATATAATATAAAAAAGGTCAAAACTAATATTCCACGTTATAATTTATTACATTGGAATCAATCACGATCCAATCTGATGAATTGGATCATTACGATTCCAATGTAATAAATTATAACCATGGAATATTAGTGTTTATATCATTTATTATATTATACATATATATATATATATATATATATATATATATATATATATATATATATATATATATATATATAGGTCATGTGTAAGAGTTTCGTGTCCCTAATCTATGATGCGCGGTTCCCCTCTCAGTTTTCATATGGTAGTATTTATATAAAATACACATTTTATTCTAACCTAATTATGTACAAAAATGGATCATATAAAATATATGTGAATAATTCAACTTGAAAAATTGAAAATAAATACAATATATATAAATACAAATTAGAGACGTATCATAATAGATCAATTCCATCTTAAATAAATCAATAATGTTGTGCAGCAATTCTTAACGTAAATTGAAATTTTTCTTGTAAAATTTGAAGAATTGTAACACATTCAACATTATGGATAAAAAAATAGTGAATGTTATATAGTGTTTTTTATAGACTTAGCATTTGCAAAAGAAATTTACGTTTTTGTAAGACCCTAGAATAAGGCCAAACTCGCGAATTTTTTTTTTCAACCTTTAATAGCCAGTTGTGCTTAGTTTAATTTGTAATGTATATAAAATTTAAGTAGAACAAAGCAAATGCTGATAAGATAGCGAAGGTCACAAAGCACTGCCTGGGTCTTTCAATCACTATGTTTTATCTATAATGTTGAATTTGTTAAAACTATCCAACATTTTAACAAGAGAAATCTCAAGTTAATAATGTTAATTGCCGCAAAAGATTATTGATTTATTTAAGAAGGAATTGACCTATTATGACATGCCTCTAATTTGTATTTAGATACATTGTATTTATTTTCAATTTTTCTAGTTGAATTGTTCACCTATATTGAATATGATCCATTATTGTACATAATTAGGCTACAATAAAATATGTATTTTATATGAATACTACCTTGTGAAAATTGAGATGTAGTAGAGTGGGGGGGGTCTTATCATAGATTCAGTGGGGGTTCACGTGAGCCTTGCACTGGCCCTGGGTACGTTTACCATTACATCTTAGTTTACGAAGTTTATCCCAGTGATATATGGTATCAGTACTCGTTTTTGTTTATTATTTTTTTTTATGTCTCATTGTGTTTCTGTATGTGTCTTTGTGTGTCTTTGTATGTCTGTATGTGTCTTTGTCTGTCTTTGCGTGTCTTTGTGTGTCTGTGTATGCCTGTTTCTGTGTGTGTCTTTGTCTGTGCGTGTTTTTGCGTGTCTTTGTGTGTCTCTGTGTGTCTTTATTTGTCTTTGTGTGTCCGTATGTCTGCGTGTCTTTGTGTGTCTGCGTATGTCTGTGTGTGTCTGCGTGTATCTTTCTATGTCAGTACATGTCTTTGTAGGCCTGTGTGTGTCTTTGCGTGTCTTTGTATGTCTGTGTGTGTCATTGCGTGTCTTTGTATGAGTCTTTGTGTGTCTGTGTGTGTCAGCCCTAAAGATCAACTGGTGTTGATTAATTAAAAGATAAGTTCAAATCTCCAAACTGGCGTAGTTTTCAATTTTTATAAGTTTAGGTTTCTTGTATAATAAAGCTAAACCTGTACTAACACTCATGAAAACTGCCTCCGTTTCAAAATTTGAAATTACGATAAGTCTAGATAAGGGCAATTTGATGACTTTATCTCGTCGATTATCCGTCAAGGGAGAATTTTTTTTTTAATCTATGTCAAGCAATGAACTTATTTTCGGCGTTTTTGCCTCAAGGTCATGTCGAAAAGATGATCTTACCGGTAGAATACGTGCGACCGTTCACGAAAACATTCATAAGAGGCATCTGAAGGCATGGAAACCGATTTCCAACCGTTCTTTCCACCAAAAAGAAATACCCTCCTACCCATAACGGCCAGATAGATGGGGCAAAGGAGACAGCCAACACACGCTAAGAGATGAAACAGGCGAATCAATACATGACGTCTCAAGAAAGAATGCCAGACGACTTTTACTTTGTTTTCTTGTTTCAAAATAAGCAGCAAAAGACATAAGGAAATAGTTCTTTTACACACACACAAAAGAATGCTGAAAAGTTCTCGGAAATAACCACTTCCCAAAACCTAACCTAATGATCAGTGTGTTCATTTTTTTGGTGGGCACGATTTAGGTTGTAGAATTTCAAAACGGTGTTCAGATGACACCTTCGACATACAAAGATTTTTGAAGGCAAGCGTGGAACTTTAATTCAAGTAGAAGCCAAACATTTTCAAAAAGAAAATGAGTTTTATACACCACAATACTTCATCACATTCGACGATAGAAACTAATGAATATCCAAATAAAGTGGCTTTGAATGACATTCGTTTGATGAAGTGGCTGAAATGTTCAGCCGATTGAAAACTTTCTGAAGTGGTGGTGGGGAGGGGTATGTTAGAGAACGGTAATTTACTAGAAAAGAATGTTTTTGGTGGGTTTCTTATCCAGCATGATGTGCAATATGTTTCATGCACAAAAATACAACAGCTCACGATAGCAATGGACTAACGACTTCTAAAACTAGTTTCAAAACATGGTGCAGACATTTCACCTTAATGTTGCTGTTGTTTCTACAGAAACGCACCTCTCCAAGAAATGATCATATTTTATTCAATATTCTTTCATGCTACTATCGAGGAAAGATTTCAGATTAAAAAGATTTTTTTTAAATAATTTATGAAATTTTAAGAGTTTCTGTTCAGTTTGGTTTTTGAATTAATTGTAAATTGATCTCCAAATAATAATAATAATAATAATAATAATAATTAGAAGAAGAAGAAGAATAGTACCAGTAATAGTAGGTGCGCTTGGAATGATAAAAAAGGAACAAACAAACACTGAAAAAATCCCTGAAAATCGTAGCTTAAGAGAAATACAAAAATTGTCTTGGTAAGTACAGCCTACAGACTAAGAATAACTTTGTCCATGTAACTCTAGTGTTGTTATGGGAATTAAAAAAAAAACACAAATCATGAAATGTTGTCATAACAACACACCAGTACCTGCCTTAGGTCTTAAAGCAGATTTAGTAGGTAGTGTGACCATAGCAGAAATCGAAATATAGTGATGATGATGATGATGATAAAGGGAAAATGTAAGTCATTATATGCTTGAAATTCCTATTTTGCGGTTGTTTTGAAAATATTTGAAATGTTATATGTAGGCATTACTTTAATAGAATACAAGAGAACTACGAATATGTATTTCATTATACGCTTCACAAATAATATAAATATTAACTTTTTGGCAGAGTTTAACTTACCTACCCGCAAAAATAATCGGTGTGTCAAAAAGACAGTTTTTTTCCTTTAACACACCTTTTACTGTATCCTCCCTCGACAAAGTTTGTTTTAAAAGTCTATGTTTAGAAATTT